TAACAGTTGGTTGCCATATGAAGCCTGGTCGCACGATAGAACTTAAACTATTCGAACTGAAATTTCCAACTTTATTAAGCAATTCCAAATCGCGAATGGCAGCCTGCTTGGCATTGTTGATAGTAGAATAGTCCGTACTTCGAACCGGATAAGGCTTGGTTGATTTTTTTATCAAATTTGTGGCACGATCATATGTAAAGTAGACAAGTCTAAGCACTGTCTCTCCATACTTGTTGCATTCATGTTGCAAGGAAGGCCCTGACATCATCTTAAGAACAAGAATATGCGCATCATTGCATACAAAAGGCTGAGCAAACGAATAGTTTATTGGTACTATTTTGTAAAGAATTCCTTTGCCACTAGTAACGCCACTAACATTGCGAGGCGTACTATCATCTCCCATCACCTGATCACCCTCTTTAATTGTTTCAACAGCCTTTATACGTCCATCATACATTAAAATGGGAGTACCCTTCCCAAAGCATTTTCCTGCAATTAAATGATTATTGAAAATGATGAATACGAAATCCATTATGAAAAAAGCAACAATCGTTCATCCAATGCGTATATATAATCATGGCTGTGCAATAATGCCGAGATTAGTTTTCTTTGATAATAATAGGATTCTCCTACGTGTTATGGTTAAGGTACAGAAATAAGATCATGAATCATCATGTATAAAGAAAAAAGCCAAATAATATACATATCTGTATCGACATGTCCTAAAATGCAGCAGATTGGCGATCTCAAGTTGTCTTTAGAACGAGCAGCGAGTGCCTCTTCATGTCGTTTCTAAAAAAAAAAAAAAAGATTATATAAAATTTCGCATGTAATTCATCAATATTTTCGACAATTACCTTTCGACGTTCTGCAGCATCGGTTTTTTGTTTCAGCATTTGTTTTTGATGCTCCGTAATTTTTTCACTGTCAGTTTCTTCACCACTATCCTCATCACTATCTTCTTCTGTTTCAGATACATCTGACCCACTCTCAGATGCATCTTCTAACTCTGCATCCTTAACTGATACATTTTTTTGTGTTGAAACTGTGTCAACAACCTTTGCTGGCGCCTTCTTTTTATCCGTATCAACGACCTTCTTTTTGTCTGTATCAACAACCTTTGCAGGCTCCTTTTTATCCGTACCAACGACCTTCGTTGGCTCCTTCTTTTTATCCGTATCAGTTTTTACGGGAGTCGCTGATGGGTTTTCGACTGAAGTGACTACATACAACATTAAATGCATATTTAACATACATGCAATCCAATGCGATTATTACAATATTTAAATATTAAAGCATATCACCATTCTTTGGAATCTTCTCGTCCCCTGATTCTATTTCATCTGATGATACATCCCAAGTATCTCTGATACCATCATTTATTTCGGTTGATTTATTGCTTTCTACATCCTCGTCCTTTTCCCAGTTTTCTTTTACATCTTTATTAGTGTCGATTTCTCTTTCATCTTTTAAATTTTCTGAAGTTTCGGGTTTATCGTCCGCTTTTAATGTTAAAACCTCTGTCTCCGTTTTATCCAAAGTTTGCTTTGTTGGGCTCTTCTTCTTATTAGCGTATACAACTCTCTTTGGAGCTTGTTCACCCTCTTTGTCAAGACCCTCTATCTTGTATCCAGATTTTATCATCTGCTCCAACCGCATTCTGTCCTGCTGCTGTTTTGCCCTTTGTTTCTGGCTTAAGTATTTACCTGACTTTTTAAGTTCTTCTTTCTTGGCCTGATATATATAACGTTGAAGTACTTTAATAATGAGTCATTCTAAGTTCCATATTACATGTCCAAAATAACATTTAATTTTTATACCTTTTCCTTCTCTTTTTTTCTCTGTTTGGCTAATTCTTTCTGTCTTTCTTCTTCCTCTCTACGCTTCCGTTCCTCTGAAAATAAAGTGTTTATATGTGATGTTGAACACAATGATTGTTGACTATATGTTTAATGATTATTACCTTCAATTCGTCTTTGTTCTTCTTGTTCTTTCCGTATTCTTTCTTCCTGAGCAGCTCTGAAATAATAAAGTACCTTTTATACTTTGCACTATGATATAGTAACATTAACGATTAAAACCAACCGCTCAGCCTCTAGTTGTGCTCGAATAGCCGCAAGCGCAGCAGCTGGTTTCTTTTTTGATGGTGTTTTTTTTTCTTCCTCTGCTGCTGGTTTCTTTTTTTTTTTCTTCTTCTTCTTTTTTGAGTCATCATCCTCATCCTCATCATCATTCGCAGCATCTAGTGGTGCATCTAGTGGTGCATCTGATGGTGGCGGTTTGGACTCCTCTGCAGGTACAGTATCATTTTCCTCTTTAATGCTTTCTGCATTTTTTGTAGTTAATTGTGTTTTCTTCTTTTCGGCATCAGCCTTTTTTTTTTCTTTTTCTTTCTGTTTTTTTAGCTTTTCTTTTTCTTTTTTACTTAATATTTTAACTTCTCCACTCTCTTCAGCAGGTTCGTCAGCTTCAACTATTTCGGTTCTTTTTTCTTCTGAATTATCAACAGTCGCCTTTTGATCGTTTGATCCTTTCTTTTTTTGTTTTTTATTCTTTTTACTTGTATTACCAAATTCTTCTTCAACCCAATCATCAGCTTCCACTTGCTTCAATTCGGATTCTTTTACTTCAAAATTATCAACATCCGTTTTTTGATCGTCTGATCCTTTCTTCTTTTGTTTTTTATCCTTTTTATTTGTATTACCAAATTCCTCTTCAATCCAATCGTCAGCTTCTGCTTGCATTGTTCGTATTTTTGTTGTAACTAAATGATGCTGGCAATATTAAATACGATACAGCAGTATGCGCAGTCACATCAAAGGCGCTAAAAATTTTGAAGATTTTTGAAGATCATAATCAAATGCGATTGGTTAATCTTGTTTTTTTTCCTTTGGGTAGTTCCCACGATTTTTGCGGCCATAGACTTACGTCCAGTATAAAATTCAATTTTGATTTTATGTTCTCACTGAGAACTATGCAGAAATTTAAATCTCTTAATGCGCAGTAACTGCATAGTAACTACGTAGTTACGATTAAATTTCTGTATGCGTAGAACATTTTTAACATCTTAATGTTCTCAAAAATCTTTTAACGCTCTCAATATAAAAAATTAATTGTATAATACTAAAAAAATTATGTTCTTAAAATTTGATTGGTGTTCTCAGAGAACATTGAGAACATTAATATTTTACTTGTTTGGCTATATAGCACATAAACAAAGTGTATAAAAATACTGTTTAAATTTTTTTTATTACTGCATTAAAATTCTTTTTTAATAAGGACGATTTTAACGCTCACCGATGAAATTCGCCGGGGGTGCTGTATCTCAAAAACGTACTAAGTAAACGGGATCGGATACTCTAAGTAAAAATGGTCAGAACCCCTGAAAACCTACGAGAACTGAGATTGAGCCTTATATTAGCTTTATATTATTTTATATAAAAAAAAAAAAATTCTTAATACACTAACCCTAACCGTAACCCTAAAAATTCTTAGGCCGGTTAATTTTAAATTAATTCTTTTAATAAATGTTTTTACTACATATACGTAAACTAATTTTTTAAAAATCTTTTTAAAAAAAATAACAAGTGGAAAATCATGACTAAAGGGTATAAAATGATCCCGGGTATCTACTATTAAAATTTCTTATTAGTTTAAATGGCAAAAGATTCTCAGTATAAAATGTCACGAAACAGAAATTATATAACACGACTTGTTAACAAAGGACAAATAGACCCAAATTTACATTATGGAACACATGCCCGGGACTGGTGGAATAAAAATATAAAAATTACAAATAATAGCACTTTAAATCTTCCTTTTC